TTATTTCCTTTCATCATATGGATTCTGGGGATTAAACTCAAGTGGTTAAGCTTTATAGCAAGTGCCTTTACCAGCTGAGCCATCTTCCCTGCTCTAGAGTTGTCTTTTGTACAGAAATAAAACAATCCCTAGTGTCTTGGAATTCATAGATCCACTCAGTTTAGTCTTAGCTAAGACAAGGAGGACTAGGTGATTTCTACCACTTAGATTGGCACTATCATGAATGAAGCTAAAATAAACTCTTTTACTACAGTGTTTCTTGAATTATGGCCATTTATTATTTGCATCAAGTTATGTGGATCATCTGGCAAAAATACCAAGTCCATACTCTAAAGCAATATTATTGGACTCTCTGGGAAAAGGAAAAATAAACTAAAATTTGAATGCTGCCCTCTCACAACCCTTGCACTTAATTCTTATGGAAACAGATGTTTCATAACCACCATTACCAGAAATGCAACTGCTGACAAACCAATTAACTTCTATTAATTATAGAGGCCGAGAATGAAATTATTTTCTTTTTTATGTATATTTTAATTGAGTTTTTGTGTATTTCACATAATAGATCTTAATCAAATTTAGGCTCCCTCCCCCATCTGCACACAACCAAACCCTCTACTCCATGGGATTTCATGCATTCTGTCATATATATTAAGGACGATCTGGTCAAGCATTTGTACTCAGATGTCCATCAATGCAAGTTCATCCACAGGAGTCTAGTCAGCCTCTCTAGAGTCACTCTCTTAAAGAATATCAACTCTCCCTCACCCAGCAGTAATCAACTGCCAATAGCTCCTTAGTCAAGGTTAGGGCCTGCTGTCCATTGCCCCAGAAATGTGGTATATTAACACAATGGAGTCTACTCAGTAGGAGAGACAAAATTATGAAATGTACAGGTAAATGAATGGAGCTAGAAACTGTTATAGTAAGTGAAGTAACACAGAAAAACAGGAGACATATGTTCTCTGCTGGGTTTTTGTCTGATTGAGTCAACTTGTGTCTTGTGCATGCTGACACCATTGTTGCAAGTTCACATGAGCAAGTTCCCAGAGGCTGGAAAGCCTCTGTTTCCTTATGTTCATGCACAATGTTGGTCTTACAATATGTCTGCCCTCTGTTTTCTCTAATGATCCCTGAACAATGGATAAGTGAGTCTTAATATAGGGGTCCAACCCAGGGATATATGCTCTTCAGTCCCATATTCTCTAAAACTTGACCAGTGTGACTTTCTGTGTGCATTGCACTCTGTTGCATGAGGAAGCTTTGCTGTTGAGAGTTGACGAATGTATTAGTATTTTCTCTATCCCATGTTCCATGTTTCATCAGCCTTAGGTGTAGAGGTTCCACTGTAGGTGTGTCACTTAGGGTTGGGCGTCTCACAGACACTTCTCTGTGTGTGACCAGTGGTGGAATTCTGTAATAGTCTCCATCTGTTGCAAAAAGAAGCCTCTTTGATGAGTGGTACACTCTATACTTGTTTATAAATATAAGGCTTGATATTTAGCATACAGTAAGAAATTTCATTTGTCTAGAGATATGTCAGAGCTAGGGTTTTTTTCTAGGAACTATGAGCTCTCCAGCCATGTATATTTGACTCTGTTTACAGTGCTACCCATAAATTCCCTCATATTGAGAGGGCTTTAAATCTAATTAGATAGCTGTTGAGTACTCTCTAGATAAAAGTGCCCCTACTGTGCGGTTATAGTTTGTTGTGTCAGTCATTGTGTGGTAATTACCATTTGAAGCTGGGTTGGACCATTGATTGATTTTCTCCCTTGGCATCTTGCATAGTATCCTCTGATACCATGAGAGCTAGTCTTCAAGGAGGCGGCTTCCAGGTCAATTCCACCTCCATTGCTACAAATTCTGTGCTGGAAGTATTTAGCAATAGAGTCTTACCTTCAAGTTCTGGGAGGTAATCAAGGACTGTGGAAATAGCCTGTATTATTTTGGGAGTCTCTTGGACTACCCTAACCAAGAACTTGAAGGGACATTTCTCTTGTCTGGCACTGTATTTCTTGTTATATAGTTTTCAGCTATACACACTCACTCATGTTCAGATATTATGTGTACTTTTTAAGGGGTTTTTGAGTTAATACATTTCCCTCTGGTTTTTCAAACATTTAAGCTTTATTTATCTTTTCTCTCTTCCTGTCTAACTAACTTCCCTCCTCTCTCCCTGGTTAAAATATCCCCATTTTCTCCTTGTTAATACATATCTCCTATTATCCCCCCTCCCTTGAGTTCCTTCTTCCCCTTTAGCACCATGGTTTCTTGTATACCCCCATTTCCCCATTACCTCCATGGTAACATCTGTTTCCTACTATCCCTCTCTCGGGCTCTTTCTTTCCCTTTACCTCTGTGATTCCTTTCCATTTTCCTGGCTCCTGCTGTTATATCAGGATATATATTCACACATAAAGGATTGGTGCTAAGATCCACAAATGAGGAAAAACATATGTCTCTTGTTTTTCTGAGTCTGAGTCATTTACTATAACAGTTTCTAGCTCCATCCATTTACCTGCAAATCTCGTAATTTTGTCTTCCTACTGAGTAGACTCCATTGTGTAAATGTACCACATTTTCATTATGCATTAGTTAGGTGACGGACATTTGGGTTGTTTCCATTTCTTAGCCATTGTGAAAAGAGCAGTAGCAAAAAAGTGGCTGTGCAAGAATCTCTACAGCAGGATGAGTCCTTTGGGCATATGCCAAGGAGTGGAATAACAGGGTCATATAGTAGGTTCAATTTTTAGTTTTTTGAGTGTTCTCCACACCGCTTTCCATAGGGGTTGCATGAGTTTGCAATCCCACCAGCAGTGAATGAGCGTTCCCCTTTCTCTACATCCTCACCAGCATTTGTTATCTTTTGTTCTCCTGATCTTAGCCAGCCTGACTAGGATAAGATGAAATCTTAAAGTAGTTTTGATTTGTATTTCTCTGATTACTAAGGAGATTTCTTAGCCATTTTTATTTCTTCGTTTGAGAACTCTCTGTTCAGGTCCTTAGCCCATATTTTTATTGGGTTGTTTACTTTCTTATTTTTTGAGTTCTTGGCATATTTTGGATACTAAACCTCTGTCAGATGTGTAGCTGGTGAAGATTTTCTCCCACTCGGTGAGTTTACTCTTCACTTCCTTGGGTGTTTTGCTTTTCAGTTTAATGAGGTACCACTTGTTGATTGTTGACCTTAATGCTTGAGCAATTGATGTCCAATTTAGAATATCCTTTCCTATACCTATATTTTGTAGGCTACTGCCTATATTTTCTTCTAGCTGGTTTAGAGTTTCAGATTTCATACTTAGGTCTTTAATCCATTTGTAGTTTTGTGCAAGGAGAAATATAAGGTTCTAATTTCACTCTTCTATAGGTGGAGATCCAATTTTGCTAGCATCATTTGTTGAAGATGCGGTCTTTCCTCTCTTGTGTGTTCTTGGCACCTTTGTCAAATATCAGGTGGCTGAAATTACATGCACTCATTTTTCTGTCTTCTATTGTTCTGGTTTGTTTCTTCATTGCTGTGACAAAATACTCTGACCACTACCAACTTGGGGAGGAAAGGGTTTATTTAGCTTACATATCCTGTGTCACAGTTCATCCAGGAGCCCAAGGTAGGAACTCAGGTCAGGAACCTGGAGGCAGAAGCTGGAGCATAGGCCATGGAGGAATGCTGCTTACTGGCTTGCTCCCCTGGCCCCTGCTCAGCCTGCTTTCTTATGCCACACAGGCCCACCTTCCCAGGGGTGGCACTACCCACAGTGGGCTGGGCCCTCCCACATCACTCATCAAGAAGATGCCCCTCAGACATGGCCACAGGCCAGTCCAATAGAGGAAATTCCCCAATTGAGGCTCCCTCAACCCTGGTGTGTCAAGTTGACACTAAAGCTATCCAGCACATCTATCATGTTCAATTAATCAATGTGTCTGTTTTTGTGCTAGTACTATGATGTTTTTATGATTATAGCTCTGTAATATTGTTTGAGATCTGTTATGGTGATTCCCCGCACCCCCCAGCATTGTTCTTTTTGCTGAAGATTGCTTTGGCTATCCAGGGTTTTGTGATTCCATATTCCATTTTTCACATTTTGTTAAGAATGTCATGAGGATGATTGATTTCTGCTCAGGTATGAAAAGTTAGTGTGTGCTTCAGGAGGGGGCAAGGCAGGGGTGGGGACAGCCTGGGAAGTGCTTAGCAAACTAGACAGGGTAGGTACGGTCCCTGAAGATGGACAATGCAGCTAGTCTGGGTGCAAGGATCTGGACACAGTGGGAAGGGTCTGGATTAGGAATCTAGTCCAGAGATCTGAGGTGGGAAGAGTAGGAGCCAACCTTTACCCAAGGCTAAGAGGAAGACAGAGTGAGGATTAAAGGTGGACTCAGAGTGCAGGGGGATCAAAATGCAGTGGGCAGGGTCTGACTTGCCTGAGTAGTAGGCAGGTCTGTGGCAGGTCGATCAGGAAATGAGTCAAGAGTAAGCTGGGGTTGGGAGCCTGTCTGTGGAGGGTCTAACCCATTAAGCTGGTGAATGCAGCTAGTCTGAGGGCAGGGGAGCAGGGCTCAGTGGGTGGGGTCTGGGTTAGGAAGCTAGTCCGGGATCTGAGATAGAAGAGTAGAAGCAGGCCTAAGCCCAAGGCTAGGAGGGGGGCAGAGTTAAGAATGGAATGATTTTCCAGCAACATTTAACATTTTATCTGATTAAAGGGAATATGAGCTAATTATGCTTTTAAGTTATATGTACCAAAGATAGTGCCACTACACTCCAAAGAACCAAAATAGTTACATAATTCTGATTTTCCTTAGTGGTTTTGATCCCATTTATGGTGATAACAATAAACAATTTTTGTAAAGAAAGTTTCAGTATGGAAGAAAATAGCTCTATAGTATATAGCACCATGCCAAGACCATGTTGAGCAATGTGAACTTGCACAATACTATAAACAAGAATATTAGTTTAGATGGAGGGACTCATGAATTTTGAAATTTTCTCTTTTGTTTTAAAGGAACAGGCAGCTGAAAACTCTCCTGGCTATTGGTGGCTGGAACTTTGGATCTGCCCCGTAAGTCCTCTACAGAAAGCTTTGTGTTCATTTATTATTGAAAGCAAGCTAGCCTAGCATGATTTCTGTCCCTTTAAGCTGCAAAACATTTGACAGGATATTAAGGCTGTCCATTACTGCATATGCTAACTCACCAATTACCATGCCAGAGCCTCAATACTAAGTAGAAGATTTTAGGGAGATGGCTGTGGCTTTCATATTTTTTAATTTGGGCCACCATCCTCTGAACTTCAGTTACCTGCTTCGGAATAACCTCTTCTTAAAGCACTTGAAGAGTACAACGTCTGACGAAAGTCTTGTACATTTTCTGTCTTTCTAAGAAAGAAAAAGAACATGGACACAAAAAGGACTTTTTTGAGTGTATCTCAACTGAGGGAGTATTTGAAGACAGAACACTTGTGAGCTAAGTTAGTTGGGTATTGAAAACAATGACAACTTTGAAAAGTGTTAGAATGGGAGATTAAAAAAACAAAGTGAGTGCTGAGATACCATGGCTGCCAAGAGTAGTGACTGCAAAGGGAGGCCCCCAGGAACATGCTTCAGTCCTTGGTCAGGTCCTGGTCAACCGCTCTGAGGCACAAATTGAGCTGTGAACTATTTTTATTCCAACACGTTCAGAACACCAAGGCTTTACCCTGACTTCTTTTGTCTCCCTCAGTTTCACTGCCATGGTCTCCACCCCTGAGAACCGCCAGACTTTCATTATCTCAGTCATCAAATTCCTACGCCAGTATGGATTTGATGGGCTGGACCTGGACTGGGAGTACCCTGGTTCTCGTGGGAGCCCTCCTGAGGACAAGCATCTCTTTACTGTCCTGGTGCAGGTGAGGAAGGCTAAGCTGGCTGGCCAGTGAGTCCCAGAGATCTGTATGTCTCAGTTTCCCCAGCACTGGGATTCTAAGCATATGCCACCATACTGGACACTTCTTATATGGGTTCTGGGGGATTGAATCCAGATGCTCATCCTTGCATGGCAAGCACTTTACCAGTGAGCTGTCTCTTCAAATTCAGTCTACCTTTTGTTCTAACGATCAGAAACAGCACCTGTATTCTTAGCTGAAACTTACCTGTTAAAGCTATAACATTTATTCATTAGTGGCATTTCTGCTCACTGAAGCAACACAGAATAAAACTATACATATTACAATATATGGGTTTAATATTTGAAGACAGATGCAATGTTCTGCTTATAATTCCTCTTCTTTTAGTTAAATGTTTTAGTGGTTTTATCAACCACTACCTACATAGCAATTTTCAAAAGCATTTCACTAGAACACTCTCTGTTCAGATAATACCATTACAAGAGCTAAATTCAGTACTCCAAATAAAATGAGTCACACAGAATAGAGGTAGAGTAACATCTGGTACTGAATTGAATCTGTCACCCAGCCCTGACCACCTTCCCCATTGACTAATTCAGTATTTCACTGGATGAGACATCAGTGTTGCTAGGTAGTTTGGGAGCAACTTCCTATACCACTAAATGCTAGATAAAGGGCACGACAGCAAATTAACTTCAACAACAAGTGATATAAATGGAGGTCTGACTGGTTATCTGGGACTTGGGATCTGGTCAAGACCAAAATACTAACTTACTGTGGGACTCTGGTGAAATTTTCTAACCCCAATGCATATTATATAGCTGTAATTTTTATTAATATAATCTATTGACATTATTGAGCCGTTGACAGACTAAATTAAGACAGAATAGCTGAAAGCAAGTCAAAAAAGCAAAACACTGTGAAAGTTGCATTCGCTATTATGTAAGGAGCTGAAATCAACTTTAAGTGTACCCTTCTTGCCTTATTCTGTAGGAAATTCGTGAAGCTTTTGAGCAGGAGGTCACTAAGAACAAGCCAAGGTTGATGGTTACTGCAGCAGTAGCTGCTGGTATTTCCAACATCCAGGCTGGTTATGAGATCCCCCAACTAGCCCAGTGAGTGATATAACTTATCTTAAACTCCTGTAGAAACATTTAAGCATTCATGTCTTCCTACTCAAAGACCCTGTTTGTTTGGACATTTGCTTTGAAAAAGGTGTCTTGCCTTCATAGATGTGAGAAAGAGCCATCAGAAATTATTTTAAAGTCTTATGTCTCTCAGGTACCTGGACTTCTTCCATGTCATGACCTATGACTTCCATGGCTCTTGGGAGGGCTACACTGGAGAGAACAGTCCCCTCTACAAATTCCCAACTGACACTGGCAGCAATGCCTATCTCAATGTGGTAAGACCCTACACAGGCGGGTGTGATGTGAGTAATGGAGATTCAGGCACAAAATAAGTACAAGAACTGCAGATGTCTCATTTGGACAATGATATTCTTAAGTTACTGGTTATATATCATTCACTATAATTTCATCAAAGTATTTTGAAAAAAGTCAAAACCAAATCAATTCGTCATCACAATTTACCTGTTAGAATAAGCTAATAACTAAGCTCAGGTCACTCGCCGTACCTAACCTGCTGCCATTACAGGATTACAGGACAATGGGGCCCCAGCAGAGAAGCTCATTGTTGGATTCCCAGCTTATGGACACACCTTCATCCTGAGCAACCCCTCCAACACTGGAATAGTGTGGAGAGCCACAGCCTCCGCCGCCATTACAAGATGGCGCCGGTATCCGGACCTTCTTAAAAGTAAAACATCCTGCCACACCCATAAGGGGCGTGCACAAGAGCCTGCTTCTCCTCCCCTCCTCCCGTGGCATGATCTCCAGCAACCAATCCACTTCTTATACATCATAAATGGGACCTTTGGGGCATATATAAGCAACAGCTCTCCCACTTCTCGGCGTCTTTGGTCTTCAGTCTTCAAATAAACTGCTGCAGAAGGATCCTGA